TAAGGTTGAACAAAGCAAGATTCAGAGTGTTTTTTTTTTTTTTTTTTTTTTTTTAACCAAAGATGCTAACTGTTTTAGGTTTAATTATTTCATACCTTTGTGGGTTTGGTTATACATGAATTTGGGGAACTGTGAGGTGATCTACCTGTATCAACAAGAACGCTCATAATCTCAGAAAGTAGAAAACTTAGCTTTGACTTGAGGTTCAAGTCATCAGACCCCCATCTTCCTCCCCCACACAGACTCACCAACCCCTAGACTCAATAAGGTCCACATAAATTAGAATCCACTTAGCTCAAAGTCTACTGACAGCTTTTCAAGGTATTGCTGTCTTCTAGAGTAGTTTGTCCAAAAAATACAATAACCAAATTAAATAAAGCTACATCTAAGTCGTTCTATATGTCATGCCTATTGGATTTTCTTTCCTATTTATTTCATATATATATGGGTGTGTGTGTGTGTGTGTGTGTGTGTGTGTGTATGTGTATAAAGAAACATATATATGTATGTATGTATATATGTTTCTTTATACATACATGTATGTATATATATAAAGAAACATATATATATATACATACATACATACATATATATAGTCTTCTAAGACATAATCTTAAGTGCTCAATTAACCACCATGAAGATGACAATATATAACATTTCTAGGGAAGTGCTTCCACAAGCTTCCAAGTCTACAGGACCTTCAGCACTTTGTGCCATCACACAATTGTGGATAGCTGTGTGTGTTTGGAATTTCATATAAACGGAGTCACACAGTTTGCACTCCTTTTGCATGTGGCTTCTTTAATTCCACAGTACGGTAGTGGAATGCTGCACATGCCACACATACTGGTGGTTTGCCTATTCTGTGACTGGCTACCACTTGCTTTTACGAATTCACAATGCTTTATTCTCCCATGTCTCCTGCTGGTGGACTTTGAAGCTTCTGCTATAGATCTGAGGCATGGTGACTACAGTTGTTACAGAAGGTAGAGGCAGTGATCACTGTAGAGCACACATCTAAGAGTAGAATTTTTGTCTTTTACTCTGCTCTGCTTTTGTCTTCCTATTTAGTCGTGGACATGATCTATGATCTAGCCTTTGCAAGTCACCAAAGGAACCATCACCGTGTGCTCTGTTAGGCCCCAGAGGAGTTGAGAGTGAGTCAGATTTCATGGCTCTCAGTTGTTCAACACCTCCCAAGACTGTGTTTTTTTTTTTTAACCTAATTTGTCCTCCATAATTTCTGGTGCCTTGGTTTTCATATACAGGGTAGATTTCTACAGTTTTTTTTCCAGAAATTTAAATAATTTAACAAAATAAAGAAGATTAGGATAGATTGTTTTTGAAAGTTATGGAAGAATGGCGGGGGGGAGGGGTTGCATTGAAGACAGCAAACATACTCGGCTTCATGGTAGCAAAATCAAACCAACAAACAACCTTGGAATTTTCATTTGCCATATATGTAAATACTTACAATTGCCAACACATCAAATACTTTTAAGGGAGAGAAAAAAGTGGGGTCTCTGTATATTGCTAGAAGCTATGTGTTAATGGTATACCATACTGGCATCCATTTGAAATTCAGTGGGACTGCAAACATCCTTATTGAGGAACTCCAAGCTTCTATTTACCAGCATGTCCTAGAGAAATTCTCCTTAATGTTACAAAAGATATTGAATGCAGAAACCAGTGTGGAGAGACATCTGTAATCTTTTAATGTATGCAAGTCTATGCATGGAAATGTCATGGGGCAGAATGGGAAAGTAGATAGATGCCTCTAATAAGTGAATCCAGGCAACTGTGTCTGCACAGCCTGCATGTGGGTAGTCACAGGCTTCTACTTCCTGGGGTGGAACCTCTGGAGTAGACCACAGCCTACAGCCAAAGCTCATCTGGAGATGGTGTTAAATCAATAATAACCATTTATGTTGGTACACAGATGGTACATTGTAATGGAAACAGTGTCAATTACTACAAGAGAGTAGTATTTGGCTGTTCTCACTTCTCAGTCTGTACATTATCATTCCTCCACTTCCCGTGCCCATGGAAGTATAACGATATCACTCTTATCTTCAAATGAAACTGCCCACTCCAGACCTAATGCAGCAGAATCCCCATAGTCCTAGGAATTCACAGATGGAATCCTAGGAATCCATCATCACTGATCCTGATGGATTTTCAGGTTTAGAGATAAATTCCCATACTAGAAATTATCTGAGATCTCTTCCACTGAGATCTATCCTGTCCATGCCAAGAATCATCTAATTTAATGTTGTCAAATGCTACCAGGCTGGGTCCCTAGCCTAACAATGGCCCTATTCATCCATGCTTTCTCCATTCACATTCACTTACTACATTTCCACATTTTCACTTTTTTCATGGCTGTTTCACATACATAGTAAAACTTTGCTGATTAGAAGTCTTGTTCTATTAACAATCTGCTTACTTTGTTGATTAATACCATATGCCTATACATAATAAATAATTTGCTGTCTAAATGTACTACCTTTCCCGGCCAATATAATACTTTATTTTAAGATGTAAATTCCTGTGCTGTTTATAGCAAATAACATACCGCCTTTGAATTCTTTATAGACTATCCATGAGTATAATAAACTTTCAAATAGAATTTACATACACAATTATTTACCCATGTCTACCATCATTAATGCAACTCAGTCCAAGCATTAAAAAAATCTACTGCTAAAGCAAATAGATATTTGAAACAACAGAAATTGCTATCATCAATCTGTATGAAGAAAACGTATTTGAATTAATTGTCCAGTCTAAATTATACGGCAGGGCAGTAAACTACCTCCCAAGCTCTTTGCTATCCAAACCATAGAGTAGTAGAAAAAGAAAAATGAGCAAAAGAAATCTAGACATAACGGTTTGAGGAGAAAACAAGATGTATTGTGTTATATTAAATATTGGGAAGTAAGAAAACACGCAATTTAAAACATAATACCCAAGCCATAAAACAATAATTACACAACAATACAATTTTGAACATACACAGTGTTTCTTCCATAATCGTAAGAATTAATTACTTAAAAATATCCCTGTTTTAGGTAAGTGCCAGCTGATAACTCTCTAATTCATTTGTCCTGAATAAATTTAGAGTAATAGGAATTAATTTTCCTTAGTTTCACTCTTAGAGGAGATGACATAAATTTATACAAATGGACTGTGTGTGTGCGTGCTCGTGCATGCGTGCGGGCGTGCGTACGTGCGTGCGTGCGTGCGTGTGTGTGTGTGTGTGTGTGTGTTGTGACATCAAAGGGCAGCTAGTGCCTTACTGCCTTCAAGTGCACCAAGAAAGAGTGGAACACACACAGCTCATAGCTTCACCGCCCCGGTCTGGGACATTGGCTGGATCACTCCTGTTTTGTTTCAGATCTCCATCTCCTGCCCACCCTGAGCTTCATGCCTGTTTTCCAGTTCCCAGTTGTTTCCCAGAGCTGTACATTTCTTTGCCTTTCTTCCCAGATCTGAAAGGATCTGTGGGTCCAGTTGCTTCTGTGGGCCTCCAGGTGCCACCCGGAATGTGTTCACTGACGCATCCCGTAGCTCAGAGAAATGACAATGTTCAATGTACATTGATGATGACAGCGTAGCCCTGCCAGCATCAGACTAGCATGTGAAGGATGAAGTCCAGTGTGGTTTGGTTTCCTGTGTTTATTTCCCAGTGCTGGCCATTGAACTTCGAACCTTGCATTCACTAAGCAAGGGCTATACCTCACTCATCTATAGTCCCAGCCTCCTCCTTCTTCTTTTAACCAGTTTATACGAGGTCGATCCAGTTTGCATGAAGAATTCCGAGACAACTTAGAAGGAAATACTTCTGTGACTATTTCTAGATTGTTTATTTAACTCACCGATTATCTGTTAAATTCAGCAGTTCTTATTTTTGTATTCCACAAAACTGGCTTTTTTTAGAGGTAATATCACAGAAAGATTCTATGTGGAAACTGTAGGATAAAAGGGCTAGTGAAAAACCCACCTGGCCCTGGAACCAGAGCCAGAAACCCACACCATCCAAATGACTGGAGAAACAGGCATTCAGACCATCGTATCAGGTGACATGCACAGTAGCTCTGCTCACAGGCACTGGGGTAGTGGCACCCTAGAGCAGACATTTTATCTGCTGAGCTTCTGCTTGTCTATAAACTAGGGTTCATTGTGATGTTTCTTCTTGGTGGATTTGCTGGGTATCGTACTGAAGTCTTGGGATACCCAGTGCTAAGAATGGACAGAATACTGTTACTAAGAACAATAAAGCAGGTTTTCTTTCTTGCTGCCTGTAACCTGTAATTTCCTGATGTAGCTTGTTTACTTCCTATCAGACTGCCCATAACCTGTAATTTCCTGATGTGGCTGTGAGTATGCTAACAAAAAGATACTTTACAAATTCACCTGATGGAAGAGCTACATACCATATCCCAGAGTAGTGTGCCTCAGGACATTCTTTAGGAAACTCCTAGTTCATGAAAGTAATAATGATAATGATGATGATGATGATAAAATAATAATAATAATAATAATAATAATAATAATAATAATAATAAAAGCACATTCTGACCAAAATGAGGACACTAGTTCATGTATGGGTGTTACTTGGTGATATCACTGTAGCTTCCTATTTAAATGAGGATTATTCTGCTGATTATAAAACAAATAAAAAACTCAAACTATATGTTAGTACAAGTTTTTAAAGCCTCTTTAAAACATGAAGTGCACGACGGAGTCTAAACTGAGCATTTTAAATGGTGCTCAGAAAAGAAGTATCACTTAGACTTGATGTGTTGACTTATTACATGCTTAGAAAGTTCTACCCATAAAGAGGGAGGGCCATTTATAATTCTCAGTATCTGATATCAATTTCTTCAAGAACAAGGAAACTTTGCAAGGAGGAGAGGAAGAAGGAAGTAACTGGCCAGAATGAAAAAAAGAGGAACAGCTCTCAGCCCAAGCAAGTCTGATGCAGAGTGAGAGGCAGCCTGGCCCTCCCAGGCTTGAAGTGAGTCGGAACATGACTTCAAGTGTTTGGGTAACAAAAAGAGGTAAGAAATAGTTTCACCTTTAGTCAATGGGTGATGTTTTGCTACATAAAAAGATCAGTTTTTTTTTTTTTTTTTTTTAAGGATTTTAATTCTGCCTTAGTCACAATGGGGAAAGCAATTGGCAGGTTGTGGGTGAGGTTGGTGTGTCTAGGACCCTGCAAGGCTTCCCTGCTCTTCCTTCTGTCCTTGCCCTGCTTCCTGACAGGAATATGCTGTCTGCTTCACAAGGGTCTACTTTATAGAGAATTTGCGATTTGCAGACAAGTGAATAAGTATCAGACAATCAAGGAGGCAGCCGCTTTCCAAAGTGAAAAGAGCGTCCAGGCTCTGCGAACCTCGTGTAGGTGTATAGCTGGGAAAGTTTATTATTTGAAATATGTTTCTTGTTGCTGGTCTTTTTTTTTTTTTTTTTTCTCATATCCAAGATTTTTCTCCTACAAAGGTAAATTGACGATAGGGGAAGGGAACGTTCCTTTGTGAATTCTCTGTGCGTGATTTTTATATTAAGGATACGCTGGATTATCTGCTCTGCACAGAACTAAAATAAATGGTAAAAATGAATTCTTTCAGCTCAAGAAGGGACTCTGGTTTCTCTTCAGCTGTCTAGGGGATAGCAGCTAGCCATGCAGGAAGCCGACTTTCATTCTCTGTAGTACCTTCCTAAAAACTAATTCCTTCCACTCAATACTTGAAATTTGTTTTGGAAGTGTACCACAAACATTGTGGTGAGTATGAATGCAATTATTTATGCTAACACTATTAAGATCCGTTCTCATCTGCCCAGAAAGGAAATGACAGTCTATTTGTAGAAGCCATTTGACAAATGTTTGTGCTTAGCCTGTGCACGGTGCCTGCCCTTGTAAGAGTGGAAGGACTCCCTAGACTGTAGCGTTCTCTTTTGTTAATTGTTAAGTTAATACACATGATTATGGGTTTTATTATGACACTTTCACACCTGTATCATTGTACCTTGCTCAAATTTGCTCACTCTTCCTGACTACCACCATTGTCTCTGCTGAGTTTTCTCTAGATGTAAAGTTTGTTGTTTTTTGTTTTGACATGGGGTCTTGTTCTGAATCCTAGGCTAGCCTCCACCTGCCTGTACGGGGATTACACAGGCATGAGCCACCATGAACAGTAAATATTACATGATGACTAGATAATGTTATGCCTATCCCCAGTGTACCCCTTACCAGGCCCCAAGGAAACTGAGAGATATCTGGATTTTGGGGGTGTTTGTCCCTAAATTGTTGTTAAACTGAGTTCATATATAAGCTGAACATATATTCCTTCTGTTGACATAAAAACGCAAAATGGACAACTTGTGCTTTGATATAGTCAGACCTTAAGGAAATGTATTGAAAGCCATCATTAGACATGCACTCGCTGAGGGCTGGACACTTGCTTTGTGTGTTTTCTTTTTCCTGCCCGCTGTTGTTATTGTGGTTATGAATGGATCACTTCATCCATTAGCAGATATTTAGTATGTTAGCCCTCCCATGCTTAGTCCTGGTGGCTGGGGGATAAATAAAGCTTACTAGCTGTTAGGGAGTCATCTAGAATCCTCCACTACAGCATCTGTAAGATGAGGATAACAGCAGAACCCACACACGAGAGCTGCAGAGTTAAATGAGATAATCCACTCAAGTGCTTGGAAGCTGACTGGATGTTCCATAAACAATGGTGAAAATGTTAGGAACACTATTGAAAATATAGGCTGTGTCAACAACTCCTGTGTCTAACCTGAAATGTATACCAAGAATGTTTTCTTGATAAAATCACAGAGGAAAATTCTGCCTGGTGGGATACTTGGTGTTTCTATCCTTGCTACTTTAAAGTTTCAACAGAGCACTTCAAACATCACCTTAACCAAATAAAAATGATGCGCTACAAGTCAATTTTTCATTAGTAGTCTTACAAAGATACTTTGCTTTAAAAGATCTCTTAAAATGTAATAGTCTATACAAACTTTAAACTCCATACTGTGAGTCTTAGTGTTGGTGCAAGCAATTAGTTAATGAATTTTGGAGTCACTTAAAAATGCCCTCTTTCATTCAAATAAATACTGATGGAATATTGGTTTTCTGTGACACATGGTGTTGATTCTCTCTAGGAATCTAAAGATGGAAGGAGCTGATCCCTGCTCACCTTTGAACCAGGTAGGAAGACGCAATCCCCTTGCATTTAGGGTACCTTGCTATATGACAGAGAACTGGCTAATTAACGTGGACTCTAGAGGGAGGGGTGTCCAGGGAGATGGCCCAGCCCGTATCCCCTCTAAAGAAGGATAACAAAGCAAAGCACCAGAGAGAGACAGGTAACAATGGCCTGACCACACATGGATAGTTATGTCATGTTGCTCTTAAATCCAAAAGGACCTTATATTTTACTTGAAAATCAACTATATCATCAAAAACAATAGAGCCCCACTTGGGGGAGGGCTGCAGGAATCTTCACTCTCTTCTTAAAATAGCTCATATTGTACTCAGCATTAAAGGCCAGGACTGACAATGTGGTGATGTTTCATACATTTGCCAGATGCAGTAAATTTATAATCTCACCAGGTATTAAGTATACAGTTAATGTATTCTTAATTTATAGCAGGTTTCTGGATGGTGGATTCCCCAACCTCCCCTTTCTTGAGGCTTCTACTGTACTATTGTTCTCTGCTTCATTCTGCGATAAACTCAAAGAAAAGGAAGTGGTAAGGAATAGATTCCCCCTGGTCTAGCTCTGGTGGAGAGGGACGGTGATGCCAACAGCTGTCTTCAGAGACTGTTGGGTCTCTCCTCTGGTCTTCGCCACGTAAAGTCCTTTCAGATCTGGGAAAGAAATGCCTGAAAGAGCCTTCAGACTCTGTTTTGAACCAGAACAGGCTCCCAAAACTCGCATCGGTCTGTGCCTGTGAGTTCGGGAGGCTGCACAACACTGTGCTGAGATGCTGAGCAGTTTTGCGAGCTCCTCGATGGGTGTGGCTGTGGGCGTTTCCCTCCTTGTACTCTTCCTGGCCTGTGGAATTGGATGTGTTTGGCACTGGAAGCGCCGGGAAGCCACAGCATTTACCTTACCGAAGTTTATGCAAAGGAGAAGCAGCAGACATAAAGACTGCACAAAAACCCTTGGCTCGAGTGCCCACGTGGTTTGCCCAAGCTCTGAAACCTCAGTGGAAAGCAAAGGCCACAAGTCTTCTACCAAGAGAAATAGGATGCTTGGCGAGTACGAAAATGTGGAAGTGGGTCCTCCGGACACCGAAGTGGCAGCCGAGAAGGCGCTGTACGAAAACACGCAGCCATCCAATCTCGAGGAGCATGTCTACGGGAATCAAACAGAGGCTCTCTATTATAATTTCCAGAAGCCTACCCCTCCTGCTCCTCAAGATGATGACACATACATCCTTCCAGATTCCTACTAGCTTCTCCTCCACTGAGACTCATTGCTGCAAGAAAAAATGATCACCAGGCTTTTGCATGGACACATGTCATCGTGATCAAATTCTGATGAAATCGGTGGTCTCTTTTCTGTCTCTACTCTTACAAATCCTCACTAGTAGAACCACTGTGGACAAATTCCAGAAACTGCCTCTGCCTTGGGTTAAATCTATGCTGTGTTATGTTAATTCTTCTCTTTAAATATTTGCCAATACAGCTTGCCTTCCTTCCTTCCTTCATCATCTGTGAGGCTCAGTGTTATTGCCATAGTCTCCTAGCAGCTCATCCTCCTGATTTTGTTTTGCTGTGATGAGGGGCTAACCCATGGCCTTTCACATACCAGGTAAGTGCTCAACCACCGAGCCACATCTCTAGACAGGTCTTCTGAATTATATCCATCCAGTCAACAGCCTATGATGCAGCAGACTGATCTTCCAGAAACATCTTAGGTGGTCATTTTGTTCTTTTGCATATACATACAGCTCAAGACCCTGAGTCCAGATTTTATGACTTGTTCAGTTACTATTTACTTTCCCAGTGATTTCTCCTGACCCCTTCCATGCTTGAATCAAAACCATCTCAACGCTTCCAGGCCCTACCCTCTACTCCATGGCGTTGCTTGACCACCTTCTGAAGCCTGCTCAGATTGTAACTTCTTCCATCATCTTCTGAGTCATGCTAAACCTGACTTTCCGTTTTTAGTTTCCAATATTCTGGAGATCTTACTGCCTGTTTAACTCTTTGAGCATTTAAGGATATGAATATTTGCTATGCATTTATTACTAATATAATATGAGAACATCTTTAGTTGCAACTAAATAGAAAGGAACTATCCTTCTTTTAGACCCAAAGAAATTATATGAGGAACTAAAAATTTGGTTAATTGACAAAAATTGTATCCTGCATTTTGTTAAGTAGTTTTAAAGAAAATTAATAAATTTACTAATTCCAAATGTATCTAATGAATATTTATTGAATGTTTTCTATCTACTTATTATAGTAGATATACTTGTTATTGTACTGGGCAGTTGGGGGATGAGGAAAGGAATTGTCACAAGCAAGCCAAAAAAGTAAGGGGGGGGGGAGACAAATTTTGAGTATAGATTTTCTACACAGAAAGAAAATACTACAGACAAATACTGTGTTCATTGTGAAACTATGGCTATTTAATCTTTAAAGATAGGCTTTTATAGAATGCTCTGTACTACTTAGCCAGGTACCCAGCACACTGTTACTTTGCCAGGTGAATCTTTACTGAGTTTTGCTGACAAGAAGTTTTCAGAGGAACAGGAGTCAAAAGGAATTGCTCCGTCTTGTCTTCTGTGATTGAGTCCAACATCATTAATTTCTCCTAGCCTTATTCCCTCTTTCATAGATGTCTACACCAGCATCCTTTGCCATCTCTTAAATCCTCCCTGGGTACCATCAGGGAACAGGTGCCATTTTAAGTTCTAGGTAGCAGCTCTGCAGGCCTCTGAAACTCAGATCTTAGTTCCAAGGCCATAAACATCTGAAGTTATTATCTCTGTGATTCCTCAATGTCCCTTCTAGTTCTCACCCTGCACTGTAAGAGATGGGGTGGGGGGAGGGAGAGAGAGGGGGGTGACAGAGGGAGAGAGAATTCTGCTAGTACTTGTTCAATTTTGTATAGTATGTGCATATTAGGGAAACCTTCTTTCCACAAAGTAGAATCCAACTTATACAGAAGTAAAGATGATAGTGAGTGCTTTGAAGAGTGAGCAAAAGAAAAGGAAGAGAGAAATAAAGGAAATTCTATTTTTAGAGAAGTGAGGTAAGATAGAAAAGAGGGTTTAAGTTTAATGAAATGGTCAATGGTGGTCACTCAGGGTGAAAGGGGACCGCCCATGCAAGTACGATGTGCAGAGGGGTAAGGGTGGAGCAAAATGTCAGAAAGAGATGGAGGGGTTCACGGTGGTCTCAGAACGTAAGGAAAGCATGTGCCTGGAGCTGCATGGTGGACAAGGGGCTTAAGAACCCCCTGTTGGGAGAGTGGGGATATAACAGGCCAGGAGACTTATTGGCATATGGTTCTGACCCTGTTATAGGTGTGACTTAGCTTTGCTCTGCTCTGCTCTGGGTACAACTGGATTAATAAAGGGTTTTAACAGAGATGTGACATAAAACATTTGTGGTTTCAGAGGAGTTTCTGAGCTGAGAAATGACTGGAGAGAGGCAAATGAGGGGGATGGGTAGATTAACAGATCTTACAGGTAACAAGAGAGACAGACAGACAATGCTGTTCCGTTTTTGAAGAAACAGCACAGGATTTGTGACGGACTCGGGGTGTGTGTTTGGAAGAGAGAGGTAAGGTTGGAGGTTGTGATTAAGGGTCTGGAAGAGTCACCTTCTTTCTGACTAGGGGCAATGGTCAAGTACTTTACTGAGATGAGCAGACTGCAGGAGAAGACAGGCTAGGAAGCTATAGCCACTAAGAATAGGGCGCTCTGCTTATTATTATATGGACAGCTAAGAACAAGACTACACTGGCTGAGACACTTAGCAATTTTATTCATTTCCTGTATCCAAGAGACTACAGCTAGGCAGTCAGTGGTTATCATGCCAGCACCATGAAGCCAGCAGCCCCATGATGCTGCACAGAAACAGCCAGGTCCTCTCTGTGATGTGTCTTCTTTCTCCTCTCTGTAGAGTAGCTGTGTTCTATTTCATAGTCAGCTCCTGCCATGAGGAAGAGGGGTGTGGAGAGATGCTGGTTTATATCTCACCAATCAGCGTGCATGACACAGATGCTTCCGGTTATAAGGGTGGATGGTAAAATAAGGTTTGACTTCCAATAGCCTCGTAGAGACAGAAGAAGTGGAAAATAGAGTCATGGAGATTTTTATCAACCCGCAGTACTTGGCCTTAGAGTTGATTTGGGACATGCTTATTTGGGCAAGTTCAATACCCATTGAGATGTACAAAGAAATATTCATTTCGTGGGTTATATGTCTATGTTTGGAGTTTGGAGGAGAGGTCACAGCTGGAGGGTTATGTTTGGGAACCTTAAATGGGTTTCATTGGAACAGAAATGGGTAGATCATCCTGAAACTATGTGGAACATAAAGTTGATAATCCAAAGAAGCGGCTAGAGAAAAATCAGAAACACACACACACACACACACACACACACACACACACACACACACACGCACACACTGCAGCATTTTCTGAGGCTACATTATAGAAGAAAATGCAACATAAGCGGTAAAGAAAGAATGTCCCGGGAAGACAATAAATGCCCATGGTCTGAAGGGCTGGAAGCTGATATTGTGAGGTTGGTTAATTAAGGGCAAGCTGCCTGAGTTTGCTTTCATCGCAAGGATTAAGGCAGAGGAGACTTTCTTACCATGATGACTGAAAAACGCCTCTGGGTATTTGGCTGTCAGCTCTCTCCTGATTTTTCTGATCTCCAGATGAATATTTCAGTTTCAGTTTAGGGGATTGGAACTTCAGGGAAAGTGATCCTGTTTGGTTTGATCTGCTGCTGCTTCTTGTAGGAATCTGGTCCCCAGCTATTGTCTGGAGGAAAGCTCACTCCAACAGATAAGAGAATGCTTTGTGTGTGGTGTTTTTCTCTTTGACAGGAATAGGCGGGGCATTATGGTTTGACTCGTAAATGGCCCCTGTTTGTGGCACTATTTGGAGAGGTTGTTGTGCCTCAAAGGTGGAGGTGCATCACGATGGGTGGACCTGTGAGAGTTTTAACTCAGCCCTGCTTCCAGCCCCTTCTTCCTTCTTTCTGGTCACCCAAATGTGACCACCTGCAGCCTTCAGCTTCAGCAGATGCACCCCAAGCTGGATTGTGATCCTCTAAAACCGTGACTCCAAGGAAAAATTTCCTCACCTACGTTGCTCCCGCTACGTCAGAGACAGAAAAATAACCAACCCAGTAAACTTTGTAACAGAAGTGTTTGATAACCGTTACCTTTTAACATTCATTGGAAATTAAAAACCTCTCCCTTTTTACCTGCCTACGGGATAGGATATGTGGGCGGGGCCCGGGAGTACAGGGAATTGCAACCCAGCTTCCTTCTTTCATCTCTCTGGATCTCATTCCTGCCCCTCCCATCTCACGCCCCGCCTTTCCTGAGCGATGCTTCCTCTTCTCTGGCTGCCTTGATTCTTTCTCCTTTGGTCTTTTCTCTTCAAAAAATTGGTCACCCAGGTTCACGTCTTAAAAGATTATTATTCTTCTATTTATGTATGAAGTTATTTCTTCCCTTTGGGGGGGGGTGTTATACTATAATTACTTCATTTCCCTGTTCCCTTTCCTCCTTCCAAACCCCTTCCGTATGGCTCCTCCTCCCTCTCTCAAATTCATAGTTTCTTCCTTCATTAGTTAACAGTGTTGTTACATACACACGTGTTTAACCTGCTCAGCCTGTGTGCTACTCACATGTATGCTTTCGGGGATGATCACTTGGCATGTGATAACCACTTGGTATGATCTTCCCTAGGGAAGACTGGTTGTTCCTTGCTCAACACTCCCTAGCTGCCTGTAATAAAACCCCCAAGCACCAGGCATGAATAAAGAATTCATTCTTTAAACTAATACTTCTACACATTCTTAAAACTTTGAAGCTAAAAATCATCCATGAGAGATAAAGGTAATAAAGTTGTTTACATCTACCGAGGACATTGTTTTGTAATTGCTTTATACTATTAGATGTAATTAGCTACAACAATAAAAGAGGAAGGAGGTTGGGGAGAGGAGGGAAGACAACAGCATCAAATACCCTGGGTGTTATTTGTGCTTACAAGACATAAAAGTAACTTCACATCCTATGACTTGCAGTGTGTGTCAGCTAGCAACAATGAGCACATTTCCTGGCCTTACTCTCTGCTTTATATTTTGCTTCTTTCTCTGTTACTAGGAAAGCCTTGCTTACCCCATCATTAGCAACAAATGACAGCCTCTACAGTTACTACTTAGGCTAGAGAGTAAGAGCAAGGACTACTAGGCACTTAAACCAAGGTGCCTGGGCTCCTTGTGAAATAGGTAACATAAAGAAACCAAGAAGAAGATGATGACGCTTTTATCCACACTATTATGGTTTGTGCTCCCTTGATGTTGTTATGCTGAAACTGTGCCTCCAATACCACCCACAGTGTTTGGAGGCGGGCACTTTGGGTGTGATTAACTCTGGGTGTGTTTAGATGAGAATGGCCTCCTGATGGGATTTATCCCTTACAAGAAGAGAGAATAGAGCTGATGGTTTGGCTCAGTGGCACAGTGAGTAGAGAGAGGAGCGTGAGGAAGATGATGGAGGAAAGAATGGAGGAAAATTTTCTCCCTCCTTTCGCCCATCTCCTCCCTCTACTGTGTGAGAACATTAGGAAGTAGAGAGAACTTGTCAATACTAGATCTTTGATATTGAACTTCTCAGACTCTATGCCTATGAGAAATACATGACTTTTAGCCCCCCCCCCCAATATGTGACATTTTATTACAAACTCTTTGAACTCTTTGGAGATGGATATGTCACAACACCTATCTTTTTTTTTTTTTTTTTTTTTTTTTTAATTCAGAGCATAAGTACAACATGTACTTTTTAGTGCGTGCCTTATCCTAACCCTGGGGACAGGAGCCTGCTCTTCTCTTCTAGGGTTCCTGGTAAGTGGCTCTCTGAGTGTTCTTCTTTGTGCCTGGCTCTTTCCATAAGGATGGGATGGGCATTGATCTGAGAGATCTCCTGCTTCAGGTTCTTTCTGAATCATTTGACCAAGATCGTTAACCTCTTATTTCTAGCTGCATTTCAAACACCTGAATTTCAAATTGATCCACACTAGTAGGCCAAGGGTCAGTATTAGGAGATCGCTTACAAGTAAGTATGGAATTACTTGAGATAGAAAACCCACGGAGGAATGGAAAGTATCTATTGCACCGGTTACTCTCTAATGACTTAAAAAGCTGACAGTCAAAAATGTTC